GAAGACCTCAAGGAAAGAAATATCTTCTGAAAGATTTTTATTCTTCTGGTGCAGTATGTTACATACGTCGAAGGTTCGTCACCGTTAATAGAACAGCCGATCAAAACTAAAGTAGATTTAAATTTTCAAAGTAATTTTCTTTAAGATCTGTTGGAATATTTTTGTTTTCGTGTCTTGTTCCCCATACCTGCTAGTTCCATCTTGTCGCTTGTTGCCTGTACGTGCATATTCACTACAACCCACCGTGAGGAATATTTGAGACGCAATTTTTCTGAATGTGAATCCGACGAGCTAATTTACTGGGTACAGAATTTCAAATAGGAATGAATATGAAGAGGCTTCAAGGTCGAAGTAAATATGAAAATAACACATAAGTTACATTTAGCACAGTCAGCTTACAAAAGATCTTTACATATGAATTAATGCTATTATGAACTTGCAAAGTGGTCGAAGTTCACGTTACATCTCGTTTTATTGAGTGTAATTTTTATATGACTATTGTCTAGAGGGTAAAATAAGTCTTATAAATATTATAAACAAATCTTTTCTTTTAGGAGATTTTCAAGTAAAGTCTTTCGAATGCGGTACATGACTAAAGTAATCCTTTGGTACTTGTGACTTCTGTTTGATTTAGGCTAAGGACTTTGGATGATGAAATTCATCGCATCCATTTTCCTTGACAGACGAGTTGACAAATGCTCATGTGTAAACACGATGAGACAAACAAGCGATCACGCCAAACGTGTTCAAAATACTTACGTAACGGAAAGTGTTAACTCAAGCAACTAAGAGTCAGGTGAGTTTGTAAGTGTTTACATTGCTACAGTGTACACCCGAAGGGCGAAGCGACAGGATGCTTTAAAGAACCGCGTAACGAGGTCTCCGTAATTGTGCTTTTAACAAAATATCAGATTATCAAGAAGGATGAGATTGTGGTTATGTAGCCCGACAGAGATGAGAAATGCGTACAAAATTTTGGTTGACAAGCCTTAAATTTAGAAACCACTTGGAATACTTGGGCGTGGATTGGAGGATAATATTCAAGCGAATCAGAGAAACTAGGACTGGCTCTGTTTAATGTGCGAGCAGTCAGCCATTAACTTTCGAACTCTCACCAAACACACCACACAAATTCTGATTTCGATTGAATTACCTAATCTCTTATCTGCGTAGTGAACTTGACATGTGATTAAGCGCATTTCAGTTTATCCAACAGCGAATTCTTGGAAATGGACACTTGAAACGAATATCCCGAAACAAAATTGCTTCTCTAGCAGTCAAAGCAAAACACACGAGTTTGACACAGGGTCTAATTGGATACTGGGTAAATATTTTGCGTCATACAGAACAAATCTTGTCTTTCACGTGAATGGTTGACTTCCACTGAGGATTCGCAAAGTTACTGGAGGCCCCAGTATGTTTTTGAGCGTAATAATTCGTTCCCCACATGGGCCAAATCACGGAGATGAGTTTGGCATGCAGAACGTATGCGAATGGTAAGGAATGCACACAGAAATTTAATCGGAGAACATGTAATCAAAGAGACCATGTGGGGACAAATAAGCGTTGTTTGAAGTATCTTCAGGGTCTTTTCTACATGGAATTTTTCTTTAACAATTCGTTATGGATTCGAAAGAATTTGGTCGTGTTGTTTTAGTATAATAGGACAATACCAAAATATCTTACCAGAGGGACAGATTTACCATTAACTCCTCAACGTGGCCTGTCTCGTAACAAAGTAATCTCTCTGGGTAAAGGTACTGATGCAATATTCTGGCATTTAAAACAAATTCGGAGAAGGTTTTATTTAACGACGTTTTTTCAACTCTGCGTTGATATGTGAATGGCAATCTTTTGTAAGGCAAACATTACTGACAAGAATATCCAAACTTATTCTTTTCATAATTCAATTATTGACCACCAACTGTCAATGTTGTGAAAGATTATAAATTTATTGTATCATGAATTTGTTGCAAATTTTAGTTTCGAGTCATTGTCAGGTACATATTCAGTTTTATCTACATTTCTAGCCCACTGTCCTTAGTGACAGCATCTTATATTCTGTAAGACTTGAGGTTCTCACAGCGGTGAGTATGAAGATTTCTGTCTTCTGGGTTGTTGCGCTGTGTAGTCTGGTCGATGTTTACCAACGTTTCAGAGGTCATACTGCCTCCGTCATCAGAGTATGAAGATTTCTGTCTTCTGGGTTGTTGCGCTGTGTAGTCTGGTCGATGTTTACGAAAGTTTCAGAGGTCATAATGCCTCCGTGATCGCCCTGATGACGGAGGCAGTATGACCTCTGAAACGTTGGTTAACATCGATCAGACTACACAGCGCAACAACCCAGAAGACGGAAATCTTCATCTTATATTCTCTCCCAACAATCTAATAACAGAATAAATATCTTCCTCCTACCCGGAAGAAAGCCGTCTTCATAGTCTCCTGTTTAGTTTAGGCTAATGCTTGTCGTGTTTGTTTTCAGGTGTTCTGTCACAGGAACTCGACACAGAAATACAGAATAGCTACGGAAACAACTACTATACCGGATACATCGCGGCCTCATACGTCAAATTTCTGGAAAGCTCTGGGTCACGGGTCGTACCAGTATGGTAAATTCAGTATTCCTGAAGTGATGTATACGTTTTAAGAATTGAAAATGTATTCCCATAATTCCGCAGAGGTTTAATCTTCTCTGATCATCTCTGTATGAAGGAAGCCCCCAGTCGGGCGTAATAATGTACCTCTGCAGACATGTCTTCGTTTTAAATTCAAGCGCTGAAACATGCAGTCAGCGAATCGCCAACTCCAAAAAGTAATTATCTCAAATATCAAACGGCAGCGTGCTCTGCAAACACGTGACAGTCGGCCAATGCTGATTTGAGGGATCTTCAAATTACAGACTTCGCATGTATTTAAGACCAAAATTACGTGCAAACACGCAATAGTTGGGCGCGACCAGTCTGCATTAAATCCATTTCGCCACCTGCAGCTTTCCGTATGTAAGGTTGCATATATCACACAACCATTACAAATTCACCTTGAAGATGGCAGTTGCTTTGCTTATCGAAAGCCTAATTTTAACAGTAAGCTTTTCACTTATCTTTTTTATCCTTTTATTTTCATGTCTCGTTAAATTTGGAACAAGAATACAACAAGCCGTCTGATAGGTTTAACCAAAATTTGCTGTGGAGGAGAATGTACCTGTTACCTTGGTTTGGGTGTCAGACTAGCTAGCGTTCGCTTGTTTACGTGCAAGCAATGAGCTTTCCGTTTAAGAACACGTTTCCGGACTTTGTGTTAAGAACGAATGACAGCTCCCTGGAAGTGTAGTAATGGTCTAACGCAGTGGGACCAGTCTTTCAATACTATTTATATTTTGGGTTAATACAAATCGTATCGTTTTAGCTATGTCATTGAGAACAATTTATCTCAAAGATAGGTCATGGCTATGGAAAGGACTTAACGATAATATTTACACGATAAAATAGTGCAGTAGTAAGAAAGAATTAATGATTTTACAAATTTAGGTGTTCTATGTTTACTTCAACTGTCAGTGATAAACTGAGACTTCAAAGTCACTAATAATTGGGTTAAGAATGAGTTAGTTTCATGGCTGTCTGTTACCGGGGTTCGATTTCCGGCAGAGACAATTTTTTTCTGTTCTCCACAGTGGTTGTACACCCCACACAGCCTCCTGACCAATAAGCAAAGGAGGGATTACTTTCTCTGGGGTATAACGGCCATGGTGTGAAGTCGGCCACTCACCTCCATCGACTGTCTACGTCTTCATGGCTTTAGGCTAGTTTACTTTTACACAAACCTTGTATTTTGAGGATAACGAAATACAGGAGTTTGCAATGATTCATCTGTTTCTGACCTGCACATACCCGATTTTTTTTTATTAGTGTTCTGTCTGACGACAGCTCCATATGAACAGGATCCTTCCATCCTTTTCTCGGACTGGGACCTGTTCATATACGTTCTTGGCAGATGATCCAGAAGTGGTTTGCCATTGCCTTCTTCTGTGTGTGAATGGAGTAATTGTTGGGATGCCACGGAGAAACCGGGGAAGCCCCCGGAGGAAAACTCCGTGTTGCCTAGACCACGGCCTTGCCCAACACAAGTTATAAATTCGGGCACCGCCGGGAATCGAACTCGGGACCCGATACAAAATTTAATTAATAATTTTACATATAAAAGGTACCATTGTCAGAAACTTTTGAACTTCGACTATTTATTTCTACTTCATGAGATTTACAATAGTATTTCTTTCAGGACAAACCAGAGCACACAGTACTACGAGTATGTCATCAGCTCACTTAACGGGTAAGTTTTCATGACACATTGGTTTATACGTGGTGACGAGACGGTCTCGGACGTTGCGAAATTGTTTTTGATGATATGCGTGGTGCTATTAGGTTCGTCAGATGCTGGGAGCATGAATCCACTCCGAAGATACTCTAAAGTATTTACATGCAATTCACTTCTGGAGATACGAACAAAATTTGTCGAGGGAAATCTAAGGTCTTGTAGTATTCTAGACGGAAAACCTGAAGGGCAACGACGGAAGGAGGATATAGACTAGAAGAGAGGATTTAAAATGGAACTTGTGAAAGCGTGTACTGGAGCTGTCTTGCTTAAGGTATGGAACAGTGACGGTCTCTCGTGAGGACGGAAATTAACTTTAGGTTTAAGAAACGGCATGGGAGTTTTATAGTAACAGCGATTATTATAAAGTACTTTATTCTATGCACGTGAATACCCGTCTAATGAAATCCCTACTTTATATGGAAAGTTTATAAACCCTTCTTATACAGCGCAGCAGGTAAATGAAAATTGAGTCCAGCTCGTCAGCTTGATGGGGTTCTGGCAAAGAACCTCGCTGTAATTTACACGACCATAATGAGTAGTTTTATGTGAAACTCGGTTACTTCAGCACATGGCTTAAAATATTCGTAATGCAGGGTATGTGAAGGGAGGGGCCATGTAAGATTTGAGGTAATCACAAACGTGAGGGCACGGATGGTAATTTGCGCTGTTGCGTCTGTATCTTAACTGTTCGTCTACGTGTCGGAGAAACATGCTGCCTCCGTCTTCGGAGTGAAGTAAGGAGTGTTGGAATTTGAATGATTTATGTAGAGTTAGAAGGTTCAGGCCAGGGGAAATGGTCAGTCTGAGCCATTGGTTGACGATGTGGAGATAACGCCAGATCCAATAACAAAGACATTTGCAGGGCACCGCATTTAAATTCTGGATCAGGAGAGAGAGAGAGGAAAAAAGTGATAAATGTATTCGGCTATAAACGTAAAACACATAGATGAGTGAAAACTGCAAGTTGTCCCATATTTTTTAGAGTAGAATTTCGTATCTCTGTGATTCCTACAGATTGCTGATACCTGGTGGAGCAGCTCCGTTCACAGCCACTGACGGATACGCCAGTGCTGGTTGGCAGCTGTATAAACTGGCTGCCAAGAAAAATGATGCCGGAGTCTACTTCCCCGTGTGGGGGACCTGTCTGGGGTTTGAACTCTTGGCTGTTCTCTCGGCAAACCGGACAGATGTCAGGAATCTGTGCGAGGTTATCGATATTGCACTTCCACTTACTTTCAAGCCAGGCAAGTTAACGCACGGGTCACGAAGGCGGCTGTGAAGTCATTGGAGGAAACTCAAAACCAATATATTAATTAACTAAATGAGTGGAACAGAATCGTCCTTTCGTAAGTTGTTTCTTGTGTAGGATGAAACTGGTGAGGTCCAACAAGTGGAAAAACAAATTTTCTTGTCCATTTCCAGGTTGATCACGATGATTCATTAATATTTCCACAATAATCCAGCATTGGTTTTTGTCCGAAGTCAGTTGAATCCAACCCACACGCTTCAGCACCCATTTAACATTCTTCCCCATCTACATCGTCTTTGATTTCGTCTGCGTAATAATGTTGAGTGAGGTGTACAAGTTACGAAGCTTCTATTTATGTAGCTTGTCTCCCATTACTTTCTCATCCACATTCTCCAAGACCACTCATCCGCGTCTCCCTACATCACAGGCCAAGTCACTGCCCAAATTTAGCATACGTTAATTTTTGTTGTGCATTTTAGTACTGTATCCTCTCCTCTTCGCGTCCCGTAAATAGGGAATCAGCTCCCTCCTACACTTCCTTATTTCCGGAGCAAAGTCCTCGTCTACGCTTAATGTGGAGCCACTCAGGTGCTTAGTGTTCCTGAGTACCCCTAGCTTAGACGCGAACGTGGTATATTTAACCAATATCGGAAGCTCACATCTCCTTCGACCCAGCCGGCCTACGTAATCGATGTTCCCTTTCGGGATCTCTAGTTTCATCGTTTGCTGCCGTTCCCCCCACTCTTTCACAACCTGGTTGATCTTCTCATAATCACTGATAACTTCATTTATTGACGCTCTTAGCGTCTCCAATTTCTGTCCTAATTCCTTCGTCCCATTCCTCAAGTCACCTATTTCTTGGTTGTGCTTCTCCAGAAGCTCCTTGATAACTTTCGTCTCCCAAGCTTGGTTTTTAACATGGGATAAGATCTGGTCGATCTTGTCCTGATCGGTTGGCGGCCCCGGGTTTGGTTCAACTCCTCCAATCACCAGAAGAGTAGCTAGTACCAGACCCAGAAACCACGTCTGTTGCCCTGCCAACTCAACTTTCCAGCTCCCTTCCTCGTGCATCCTGCAAACGCGCCAATTCTGGCCCTGTAACTTTCTAACGTGACATCCATCCTTTCTTGAGCTGTAGAAACACGTCCGCTCACCTCCGTAGCTACAACTGAACTCCATTTTAGTACTGATTCAAGAGGCATTTGACAGTAACAAATGCTCTGTGTAGTTTATTACATTAAAAGCCTGAACACACCATCAGCGATTTATAACTTACGAAATCTGCCGTAAAACACAACAAGAAATTTTAACTGTCCCAAGTACACCAACTTTACCAGTCTTCCATTGAAGTTGTTACTACTTCAGTCTACTCTTAACAGTGCCTAGTAGTCGAGACGCCTGGGAATACCGAAATGGCAGCGTGCTCTGAAGCACAGGCCGACTTTGCCAAATGCAGACACACATTTAGGACGTTCAGTTGCTCATTTGTTTATACTTTCATTTCGGGGACTTTATGTTTAGCGCTGCAAATCCGGTAGTTGGTTCCTGCCCGTTTGTTTCACGTGCCAGCCTCCTTCGTCCTAACTTTGTTGCGCAAATCGCAGGAGATTCGACTTGCTCGGCTTCTTCTGCAAGGAGATTTAAAAAAAACCAAAGGGAGCATACTGGAGAACATGAAAGATGTTTGGTTCTATGAAAGACTTTACTCGTCATGTAATATTAATGGTTAAATTAAATCATGAAGCTGGGCTATAAGAAGTGGCTGAAGGAATATATTTCATTCAGACGACCCAGGTGTGGGGTTTACAAAAAAGAGCTCTTGTGGATTCAACTGGCTGAGGAGATGGTGCTGGGACAGGTTTTGTGATCACAGTAATGGACGTTAAGGTTTCATGAAACACCGTTCATTACTTCATCAGCTCAATAACTCTTTATGACTTTTGTAGGCGTTGACAAAGAAGCATGTAATTTTCCTATTGCAGATTACCGGAGTAGCAAACTTTACAAAGAAGACGCAGATGGCGTTCTGGAAATACTGGAGAAGCAAAACGTGACGTTCAATTCTCACCACAGGTGCATCACAGAGGAGGTTTGATTCTGGACATATTCTCTTCCAATTACGATGATTTTATTAAGAGCTCTTCTATTACCCTATTCGCTCACACGTCCTTCGACTTTGTCTCCTCCCATGATTATCTTTGTGGTTTTTTGAGATTCAGGGAAGAACATAAAAACAAGTAAGGGTAACGTACAGCAATTATGAACGATTCAAATTCTGAGAATTTTTTGACCTAATAGTTTGTTTTGGACAGTGATACGCTTTTGGGACCCGCATACTTTATGAGATATTTGCACTGAATTTCCTTCCAGAAATTGAAAGAATCTGGTGTGGCAGATCAGTGGCACGTTCTATCAGTCAACAGACACAACGGAAGCGAATTCATATCCAGTTTTGAGCACAAGAAATATCCGTTCTACGGCGTGCAATTTCATCCTGAGAAGAATGCTTTCGAGTGGAAGATCGAATCTATTCCTCACTCAGCCGACGCCATATTGGTAGAACAATTTTATGGGAACTTCCTGGTCAATGAAGGTAAAACCCCAACATGTTTTAATTGGCATTGGTGGAAAGTTTGCACTGTGGTTTTTCTCATGTCGGGAATCTTTGATAAGTAAATGCGCATGCCAATTGGAAAGGATTCTTTATAGTTCTCTTCAAATATAAGATGATGAACAGAGTCCAGAAAATAAATAATACTAATTATATATAGGTCCTATGTGGCTTGCACACGTCCAACACGATTGTAATTACGTTTAAAAATAAGGTTCAATTTATTTTATTAAATTTACTACACTAACATCACACACTAAAATGTGTACTGTATAGAAACAGATATATATATATATATACACACACACACACACACACACACACAAACACTAGGCACAATTTTCCCCCCCCCCTCAAAACGCGATCTATCGAATGACACCCGTTTTCTTACGAAACCCGTATTCAGTGTTGCTTGATGCCTGTTTTATACATTAAAAGTCTCAAGGACTTACATTGGGGTGAGCGGGTAGGCCACAGTCATCGTTCTGCATGAATTGCCCATACGTTTTTTTCGTCTCGAGTCTTAAAAAAATATTTTAACACAACTTTCGGAATTTGTTACGTCAAAAGCGAAGTGGCCATATTAACTTTCATTCCGTTAAAGTTGCTTCATGAGCGTGAGAATTTTCGCTGGATAAGTATCAATTGTTTTTGACTGTTTACATAAACCACAAATGGCCAGCTACAGAGTTTGTTTTGCGGGAAGACACAGCCTGCTGACCTCATAATAAACTGGAGTCTCTTTAAGAGTATAAAAATACTTTCAATATTAAATTATATGTTTATAATTTAACGCGGCCTTTTTATTAGAAATTTATATGTATTGAAATTGGGCCGTTAACGCCCCGAAACAAGTTTCTGACCCCCCCAAGAGACTGCTGCTCCCACTTTGACGAAGGATGTTACGCCAGTATCATTGTCGCACATTTTATAACATTAACACAGTAATTAGCATAAAAATAAGTACACGTACCTTAGATGACGTCATTTCTGCACTAATTGTGTTGCAATTTATTTTTGCATATCCAAATGATTATCAAACGTCTGGGTCTAGTGGTTATCGCTCCTAATTCGTAAATGTGAGTTCCCAGGTTCAGATCTTGGTGCAGAGACCAACTAACGTTATTGAGGTTTTCGTGGTACATCCAGTCAGACCACGTGATGGTACCACGACATATCGTCTCCAGTTAATTCACTAGCAGTCTTACCATTCAGCATTGCGAAATCGAGTTGCTGAAAGTGTCACTAACTAAACCACACATAGATAAAGAATACGTAGGGGAACATTCAATATGTTTCGAATTTTATGACGTATGATTTAAATCCGTATTTTTCAGCTCGGAAAAACAATAATTCCTTGTCCAGCGTTAAAGAAGAGTTGGAAGCAGTGATCTATAACTACCCCGTGACATACACAGGAGATAATACTGTCTTCGAACAGAGTTATTTCTTCACAGATGAACAGCAAGTGTTTACCCCAGCTACAACAACAACAACAACAACAACAACGACTACTACTACAACCACAACTACTGCTGGCACAACAGCTAAACCCACTACAACAACTACCACAGACACAACTACAGCTGAAACGGGCACTGAACCCAATACTGAAACAACAGGTATCATGTCTGCCCAGTCACATGACAGACAGAGCGCCGCGTCTGCGCATAACTCTTTACCTCACGTCACTCTGTGCATCACAATGTTCGTGGCTTGGGTGGTGAAACAGTAGTGTGAACGGAATTAAACTTTTTAAGACGCCGATTTCCAAATTGGGTTCTGTTTACGCCCCAAGGATCCACTTGTAACAAACAAAATACTTTCATACTGGGAAAATGGATGCTGTTACTATCTTGAGATGCAGCTCTTTACTATTATTTACTGACAACTCGGAAAATATGCAAGTTGTGAAACAAAAGTATCTATGAATGTATAAATTTACATTGTTCGTTTTGTTTTTCACGTAACAAAAGCAAGTTGTTTCTGTCCTCCTAAAAACGGTCTTTGTAGTTTCGGTACGAGGTCCCATTACCACGTTTTGAGCACTAGTGTGTTCGGAAGACAAAGTTTTGGGCACTGTCCTAAGTCGTTAACTATAATAATTTTTCAAAACTTCTCATATACTTACCCTAAGTTACCGTCAAACTGTGAAGAGGTTAGTGTAGGAAAAAATATTGCATAGTCAGTTTTAAAGACTGAAGTTCGTTTTTACTAATAGTTTTTCCAAAGAATACATATTATAGTGATAGTTTTCGTGTAACAGAAACTATTCACCTTGCGCGTAATATTAAATATGACATTTGGCGAGTATGCTAGCGGCAGGGTGTAGTCTGACCTTCCCGCTATGCGCACGCAGCGTCTGAAGTCTTAGCGGCACATCTGCCATCTGTTAAGCAGCCCATCCACGTACGAGTATCTTAGCGGCACATCTGCCAAGTATCCTCGCTGTTAAGCAGCCCATCCACGTACGAGTCTGGCTCGGCGAGCTTGACTCGTGAGCCGGGCTCGGATATATTTCACCACACACATATAGCAGACTCCCAAACTTTACTCGTACATTTCAGTATACAGAATGAGTTTATTGAAGCAAGTTGCAGCAGCGGTGATCGTTTTAGACGAATGCGGTGTGTTCGCGAGAACAAAGAATAAAAATGACGAATTTGGTATTAAAATCTGCAGTAACATTAATTATAATGGAACTCTGACGTTATATCCTGAAATTTCTTTGAAAACGTGGGGAATGTTTAAAATAACGTGATATGTGTTGTCTTTTCAAGTTTTAATGTCAGAGATCTTTGAAATGCGGTGTTTTAAACTCTGAAGTGTTCCTGATTATATTTCCAATTAACTGTAAGATATAACCACAATTTTGTATTATAAGAACGTGTGAGAAGCTGTATTAAAGTGTTCAGTAGGATTGTATACAAGTCTGAAACAAGTAAAATATAATAATTTTTGACAATTTATAATTTGTACTCTTTCCTCTTACCAATACTATGGTAACTAAACTGACTCATTTCTTAAATTAACTGTCGATGTAAAGAGCCTGGAGGTCACGGTTCCAAATCTCAGCCCAGAGACCCGATATAATTGACCACTTCTTTCAGCAACGTCGCGTTAATTGGTGAAGGGAAGCTGAAATGTCGGGGGGGGGGGATCAAGATGTCTGTCAGCCTGAGGATGCCTAATGAAACTTATAAGAAAAAAAAAGAACGTCCAAGTTCGACACAATCGGAGGCATTTTAATACAATGACTTTTGCACTGCACTGAATTTTATGAACCAAAGGGACAACTCGTGTTAACCACTAGCAGTGCACGCACGCGCCAGTGCTGCAGCCTAAAGGTAATAATTTCACTGAGTTATCTGTCGCTTCGCGGTTTTCCCCCACCTCCCACGTGTGCATTTCATCCTCTAACCATCACAGTCTTTTTTTTTTTCCAAGAAAGATACAGAACTCTCATGAATACGATTAAACGATCCTTGAATCTTAGGAAATATATTTGGAGATGGAAAAGTCTAACCAAACTAACAAAATCCCCGACAGTAATAAAACTAAAACACAATGTTAGCTCCGAAGCACGACAGACACAATCCTGTGGCAGTTTAATTAATCTCTGTACTCCAAATACGATTTCTATAACATCTAACTTAGGGCCATTTCACACGAGGCTCAGTGAGCTGCAGATCGAGCCAGTCTAGCCAACGCATTTATACGGGAGAGTCACATTGTGGGGGGAAACACTCAATTAAGTTGTTTGTAATAGGTACTATTTATAATATTTATGCTCTAAAATATTAATATTACTTCAAGTCGCAACATGATTTGATGAACGCTGCTAATACACTGAAAATATGTTGCTGGAGGGACTGAGTGAAGTTGGTAACTCTAGCGGAGGGTCATGTAAGCCGAACTCTGAATTGCTTATAGCCTCCGTAAGATCCGCATACCGGCTCAGCGAGCCGCTCACTTGAGCGGCTCACGAGCTCACGTGTGGAAGCAGGCTGAGTGTTACCCTCCCCCTGCCTTCCCAGAATTACGAAAGACGTGCGAGACGCTGAACAACGCACACTTGAAGTTCGGTTATCGGTGTGACGCACTTCCATTTCATTAATTTTTTCATAACTTCTGTGTTTCTACCCGCACAGAATGAAACTGAAAGGAAACACGTGATTTCATATCACATGGCTCCAACCCCCTTTGTTTCGATCTTTATGACATAAATCTACAAGCAAGCGCTTGGTATGTCTTCCAAAGAACAACCACGAGTTTCAGATCGATTTCTCTCGACACAAACGACAATCACTGCTTCGAACAATGTTTCTTAAAACAGTCCGGGTTCATAAGTTGTGACAGAGAGTTCTGCGAATTTAATGGATTGTACTCGTTTATCTTTACGCTGTATTGCTGTAATTTTTAAATGTATACATTCTCTCTATATTCCAGCTAGTATATATTATACTTAAAATGCATGGGGAAATTCTGGGGAGGAAGGCCCTTGACACCCGAAAAGTTTAAACAATTTTTTAGCGATTTAACCACTGAATCCTTCACAAGTGCAAATTTTTAACCTTTACTGTTTCACGAGGGTGTGAAAGTAGGTCTGTTAAGTTAAAGGACGGATTTCAGCAAGAGTGTTTTAAAACACAGCTGCAGAATTTTTGGATTAATGACAGATGAAGGCGGAAGGACAAACTTTGTATAATTTGTAACAACAAATTAGACTTAAATGAAAATTTATGATGACATGTTTCGACAGGCAGTTATTTGTTTGTGTTAAAACTACATTTCCATCAGTTTCTCTTGTGGTATATGCAATTGTGATAAAAAATACTGTTTATTTCAAATAAAACTGTTTATTAATATTATTAAAGTTGTTTGCTGCTCTGTGTATCCCACTATATAAAATCCTAACAGGGCCTATGTTATATTTCGAGTTTGTTTGACTAGCGCTCTGTAATTTCTCTCACTTCCTTTAAGAAGCTCCAAATATTAAAATTAAAACGTGTGGGCGGAGAGAGCCAGTCTGGAGGCAGTCTTGAAAGAGAGTCCTGTCTCTTGCGAGAACTGAAACCAGGTCGGTTAGGTCACTGCCAGTCACGCAGAGATAGAGCTCAAAAATTTATGGTCGCCCCTGACGACAGGAAAATTTCAACTGGCAGCTAATTTTGCACTTTTTACGTTCCGGAAATGGCTTTTGGGGAAGCAGGTGCAATTTCATTGCACGATATTTAACATCTATCTTGTGATACTGCCCAGAAAATTGGCGTATGAATTAAATCCTTTCGGCTTGTCAGACTAGCCTAAATTTTCAAATTTTCTGAGTGTCCAAACTCCCTTAAAAATTCTCTGAGAAGAAATTATTTTCTGGTTACAAGTTTTCGAAAAATTTTCGATCCCTGCAAATACGTACCTTGGCTCATAATTTATTTTTAATGGATATTAAAGTGGTCAATACTGCACTTGATTCCTCTGATAATGATCCGGGTCCATTAACTCTAAAGTACAAAACTGATCTTGAATCACATAAGCAGATAATCGAAAAGCCATGCCCACCAACAATATAATATTTATCGATAGCTGCAATTCAATATATTTATAACGGATTAAAAAACACAAAATACCGATGTGACTATACAACACCCCACGCAGGTCACGCCATATTGTAACCTGCTCGCGCCAGACCGTCAGTTGTTTTTAAAAAGTCGAAATGCAAGGATTTCTTTCTCACAAATGCAGCGAGTGTTTGTTTCGAACTCTACCTGCCAGCCAGACAAATCGACAGTATCTCGTCTGGTGAATCGATTCCGTGACATTTCCAACACTTAATATAACCTTGTCTTTTGTTTTCTGCTCTCGATGTAATTTATTTTTTTGACAAATAGAATATATATTTTATTTTAATATTTTCCGTCAAATCACAATTTTAATAAGATAATAAAATATAAAATATTTAAAATATCATTTCACGTTCCGCATCGAATGATCGATTTACAAATTGGAACGTCTCTTACGACATGTTTCGGTTATATTTAACCGTCCTCAGGTATAAATTAGATTGGTAAAATTTAAACTCGAATTACAATCATTTACAATGTTATGCAGTTTATTGAAATGTTCTTATCAGATTACTCTTATATATTAGAACGAATACAATATATGTTATGTGACTTTTCAATCACTATGTATTACCATGGTCAGTTTTCAACTGGGCTGGTCCACGTGTGTTGAAGTAATTCTGCCACGTGGGGATTCCCCGTACCTTTCTCAAGACATGACCCAAGTCTCTCTGGTAGAAAGAAACGACGTCACTGGTGACGTAACTCTTCCAAACACAGCACGTGCTACTGATTCAGGTGCAGACACGTCGTCTAACGTTTAGGATCGCACCTCACACATAGGTGGGAAACTTTTTATGAAAAGCATCTTCTGCACTGTTGCACAAATCTTTCCAAAAATGATTAATACACAACATCGTTTTTGTTTATTCTTAACAATTTAGTTTTATTTATAATTTGTACGTTTACATATAAATCATCATCAGCTTTAATGAATTACGCCTTATGTCTTCTTCCAAATCAGAATTACTAAAGAAATTACTAACCAGTTCTCGACATTTGGCAGGACTCCCTAGAGGGGTGATCAGCCCTTCACAAGGCTTCTACCTACGCAAGACAACACAACACGAAAAGACGAGGACAAACATCCATGCCTTGAGTGGGATACAAACCCGCGATCCCAGTATTCTAGCTGCCCAGACTTAAGCCCTTATTCTACGCGGAAACTAAGATCGGCATTGAAAAACATTTTGAAAAAAAATACCGATCATGATGGAACGTTTTACGTCTTTTTCCGTTGACCATTTGTTTCTACGATCAATTTCACTATCATGCTCATGTACTCCAGGTAACGGAGTATTCCGATTGGAAAAGTATATCGAAGG